CCCCCACCTCTCTCTCTCTCTCTCTCTCTCTCTCTCTCTCTCTCTCACACACACACACACACACACACACACACACACACACACACACACAAATGCACCAAAGAGTGCATAATGAAATGGTCAAGATAACTGCTGACTGTTATCTTTTCTTAAACTGTCACTTTGATGTATTGTAGGAAGTGAAAGAGGAAGTTGTCATCTCTGTTCTGCTGTTGAGAACACAGCTGTCTATCCCACCTAGCTAAAAAAAATATATTAATAAATCTGGCCTAATATTGTACTGCAAATACCATTTTATTTTTTTTAATTTTAAAAAACAAACTTTATAAGATTTTTAAAAAAGATAAAATTGTATAAAACATTCACAACCTTAAAATACAATCAACAGTATTAACAAACAAAGTATATATAATGTATATAAGTACACATATATACAAAAACTTATTTTCCTTTTTTTTCCCTTAATGATGGTGTATAATTATTACTTTTAATTTCTTACTAAATTTTACTAAATTTACTAAATTTTGACTTTACCTTCTTTTCTATTGGTTTATCCATTGGTATGAATGCAAATACCATTTTAATTTTCTCCAATGTCCTAGAGGAGCATTATATCAGGACCATTAAAATGATGGTTGACTTGATTTCAGATGTTGGGGAGTTCGCTTACGATATTGTGGAAGTACAGCCTCTGGATTATAGAGGCAATAAAGGCACTGGATATGATTGCATTTGAGTGGCCTCTTCTCATTTGCTGTGAAATGATAAAAGAGAAATATAAAATAATGTGGATGAAAACAAGGAACTTATATGACTGGACATGGACATATGTTCTGATCTGAATCTATACCATGATGCTAAAAATGGTAAAGCATAGCACAAGTTCAAAGAAATCCTAAATTATATTGCAAGTCATTATCCCAGTCAGCTTTTTGGATTCCCAGCCAATGCACAACTCCAAGCTAAAATAGATGGGGGGGGGTTTCCCTCCCTGAAAAATAGAAGGTCAAAAGCTCACCTCCCCCCAAAAAAGTGCAGTTCATATTTTAAAAAGTATTCTTGAAGGGCATTTTGCAGATCCAGTAAAGGTGGAGAACTATGAGGATGAGTTAGTCTGAGACACACCAGGTGAACTGAAGTAGTAATCCTGTGTTTTGCACTCCAACACAAGGGTTTAAGCTGAAGTTGCTGGGCTTGTGATCAACACTAAAACAAGTTTTTAATTCTCTGCATTATTTTTTCACCATAGTGTTGCTATGAACTTGATTAGTCTTCTGGGATCCATAAACTGGGTTCTTTCACAATCACAAACTGGCAACCGCAAACATTATCTTCAAGCTTTCCAGAGCACAAGGAGAAAGGAAATAGTTTGTTACTTTTGGCAGAAAAGTTATGTATTCTTCTAGGGAAGAGAGACATGGGATACTTCCATAATGACTGAATAAATTCTTATGTAAGTCTGAGACTATTTTGATTCCAGCCCTGTACCAGTGCCAAACACCTTTAAAGGTATCTTTCACTTCAGCACAATGAATCCTCTGCTTCTCCAGAACATTTTTCTGAAATAAACTATTTTATTATACTGAACAACAGCAACAGCAGTAACAACATGGAAATTACTTTATAGCTATGCTTCCACAAGGAAGCAAACACCACCTTATATCTAGCTGAAAAGTCCATTCAAGTGGGAGAGTTTGCTGAAGGAGAACTGGGAAGTTGTGAATTTTGCCTGAAAATTTAGACAAACAGTTGAATAATGCCTTCTGAAATAAGAATCCAGGTGGAAAGGTTTAACCATATCCTAGTTTAGTTTCCCAAGTCATGGATTTTATTCTAACTATAGATTTTTGTGCCACTTTGTACACATTTTGAATGTTTTCATTTTTCCATAAGAAGCAGCAGCCTAATGATGAAGATGTGTTGAGTTACTAGTGTCAAAATCCCCCAAAGCTTGCCAGTGCTTGGAGACTGTAAAAAGTGTAATTCAAAACATCTGGCAAACACCAGGTCTCCTAGGCCTGCATTCTGATCTTCCATTGGTTACTGTGCTGTTTTTCATACAAAAGGTTACTCATTCCTGCTTCCCTTCATGTTTTCTGGATTGTCCCAGACCATTAGGAATAGATTTAAAAATTCATATGACCACAAAGATCATCATCCCTGAAATTTAATAGAGAATTATTCATTTAGGTAGCTAGAACAATTAAAAACATAAAAATACATAAAAGTAAGCAAAGAACCACATAATATCAGGAACAATAACTCATATATTGCATATTAATGTCTCCTTCAATTTGAGTAATTATGAAAATAATAATTATTAAAAATTATGAAAATCCTGATCATAGCAACCATTAGCCTTCTACCCAGTAAGGAACATAGAAGAGAAAAAAACCACAGTAAAACTAGTAACAAATCCAAATTTGTCACCAAATGTGTCCCCCAAAAGGAAGGTTGCTTGGCTCTTTCCTGAAAATACCTCTACATTATGGCTCCTTGGGCTGGGTCTTGACCCATTCCAAGGCAAGACAATATTCATTTCTAGTTTAGAGATGAGCTGAAGTTTTTGAGATTTCCTGATTAAGAATTAGAAAGAAGGCATGAATGACTGGGCTACAGCTCAGTCTTGTTCTGCACTAAGAATAGACTTTGAGTCAAGGAAACATCTAGTCTTTGCTAGATGATTCTTGATGCCTGGTCACTTTTAGGTTGTTCTGACTACCCCAAGTGGCTTCTGGTGGTTGAGCACTCCTTGCTGTCTGACATGCCACATAGAGGTAGCAGGATTCCCTTGGGCTGAATCAATAGTGGGTTGCTCCCAGTTCTGTCCGGGTCTATAGAACCGGTAGTAAAACCGGTGGGAGGCCCCGCCCACCTGCCACAACCAGTTGATCCCATTATGAACCAGTAGTAAAGGTAAGTAGAACCCACCCCTGGGCTGAATGGACCAAATTTCGGTTACAGGTTGAATTCATTGAGACTGGAATCAAGAATGTGGGTCGGTTGCTGCAGTTTGGATCTTGCATCAGGTTCCTTGGGTGCCTTCACTTGATTCTCCTCCTGGTTGGAAAATATTCCCTCACATCGGGACAAAGCACTTGTCACAAGCATTCTCAGAAACACTCATTGATTGAGTTCACACTTTACATTTTTAGCTGCACATTTGAAAATATAAAGCGTGTAGTGGGCCACAGACTGGAAAAGATTGGGATTTGGTGAGGAAAATCAGATGAAGCAGATTAACAACTCTCTATGCTTATTGTGGCTGAGTCATAGGCATATGGAGAGGTGGGCATATTTAGTACATTTTTCCTGAACTAGAAATAAATTATACAGTGTTCAGAAATTGTTCCTGTAACTGTTCCTGTATAAGAAAAAGAAAGTTTAGTTGTCATGCCCACACCATAGATCTGAGAGACTCCAGTCAATTAAGATGAAAGAGGAGATGTAAGTAATATAAATATGTAGGTGGTAAGACAAGACTCACACATCTGCATGCAACCCAACAGCCACAAAAGAACCAGATCAAACACTGGATAGCTGGAGCTAATTTATGTGGGTTAACATCTCAGAACAATTCGGCAATTGTTCTACAAGACAAGGGTGGGGAATTTATAGGTAGAGGCTGTGACACTCTTACTTTTCTGCTAAGGATTTGAGTACCGGTTGAACCTGAATGCAAAAATAAGGCCTCTGAACAAAATAATGAAATATCTGACATCCGAATCTTAAGGAAATGTTTTTGAGAACTATCACTGTGAAGTGGTGAATAATAGGCGGAAGAAACAACTCCTATTTTTTCTAATTTATTAGTGAGAATATTGCTTGGTTTCTGGTCTTGGTATACATCATGTTCCACATTTAAGCTTTGAAGACATCTTTTTAAGGGGGGGAAGGGTCTGCATATGGATTGGCATGTAGTTGCTTCCCCTCTTTCAGCCCAATTCATCACACAGGGCGATTGTTGTGAGGAAACTAGGATTAGGAAGGGGTATTGGGTATGTTCACAGCCTGGAGTGATTTACTAAAATAGATACCACAAGCAAGGGAGACCTTTTGGAAACTTTTGAGCAGAGCTATTGAGCTATACTTCCATGGGAGTTTTGTACCATTTTACGATAGGCTCAGGAGCTCTCTAATTTCACCATGTTGGATATGATAAACAGCTGAGTTTGTTTGTTTGTTTTCTATAACCACCCGTCTCAGTGAATGATTTTGGGGGATTTACAATAATTTATGTCTAATGCAAAAAGAGGGCAGCCCATTCCAAAAAATAATGTGAATACTATCCCTTAGTCCAGTGTTCTATTTAGTAACAGCTTTCAATATCTTGTCTAGATTTAATTTCACTCATTCATTCAACTCTATAATTAAAGCTATTGATATAAGTGGGTGGTTGCAAAATTGTCAGTGCACTATAATTTCACTGCCACAGTTACAGGGACCTTTAAATGAAATAGAGGCTTCTGGTTTTGCATCTGGAAAGCTTCCATTCATGGTAACTTCTCAGATTATTCTATATATCTATATCTATATATCTCGTCTCTATATCTCTATCTCTATCTCTAATTAATCTATCTATCTATCTATCTATCTATCTATCTATCTATCTATCTATCTATAAATCTAACACATTGGAAAATACGGAGCATGGGGTTAGCAGTTTTTATTTTATTTTATTTTATTTTATTTTATTTTGGTATGAAATAGGTGTTTTTTATGATTTCAGAACCAGAGGTTAACTCACAGGGGTTGAGGTTCTGCTTGAATAATTTACTTTATATTCTTCTGTTATTCATCCCTCATCAGTTTGATTCAAATCACTAATTTCTCATAGTTCAATACAATATTCTGATTTGATACCATTTGAATTGATTCAAACTGAAATTTAGTTTAGAGAAATGTATCTGTACATTCAACTCTGATGATTCGGTTTAAGAAAAAAAAAGGAAGCTCAAATGAATTGCCTTCAACAAAATTTCTAAATCAAATCTTCACAGAGTTTCAGTGAGCACTGACTGATTTGTGACGGGAAAGCACGTGCACTGATTGCCCCAAGACATTCTTCGTATCTTCTCTATGCTTCAGGATTAACAGAGGTAAAAGTAATTGCAATTTAATTTTAAAGAACCTGGTGAAGAATTGGATGATAAAAAGGGTGTGGTATGAAAGTGACTCTCATCTTCTTATCACATGCAACTTGTATATACATACCATATACACACATAGACAATGGCTCAATTAGCAATTTTAAACCCTGGACATATTTTTACATGTCTAGCACTTTAGTCAGCCAAGCCTGTGTAAATAATTCCTACATTTGTTTTAGTTGTAATATACAGTAGTATATTACTGTATATTTAGTTGAAATATACAGTACATGTAATATTTCTCTTCTCCTACAACCCAGAAGAATTTCAAATATATTAGAAACAGATGAATTTGACTCTATGTTGAGCCACAATTAGAACTCTTTGCTAACACTAAATTAAGAAGATACTCTTAAGTTTACTCAGTTCACATGTTCAGTTCACTTAAATCATAGCACTACCATAACATTAGGAGATTATTGATGCTGCTGTGCTGCTTAATACGGTCACGCAGAAATGAGCACAGGTAGGGGTACATCAAATGGACTAATCCATGGGATTGAAATTTGGGGGAGTTGTGGCTGATTCAGTGCTGCCATGGTTTTGTTGTGTTCATTTTATCCTCATTTTCAGTGTTCCCTAACATCTTCCTGGCTGCTTGCATAATCTCTCACTCACTCAATCCCCCACCTAAGGGAAGGGAAGAGGATTTCTGATGCTTCAGCTTCCGTCAAGGAAACTCAGTGGGAAAGCCAGCAGGAAGTTGGAAGTTGCTCCCAATCCCACTGTTGTTGTTTTTTTTTTGTTGTTGTTGTTTTTTGCCTGCCTTTAATCATTCTGTTTCTCGGTTTAGATAAACTAATATCTCTGAAACAATGATCCAATGGGTCATGAGTTGTCTAGTGCTATATTTTAAATTTAAAATGGTAACACAAACACCTTTAATAATGTATGTATATGTGGATGAATTAGTTAAGGGATACTGCACTGAATACCATGACTCTTGGTTAGCTTTCACATCCCTAAGAGCTGGCAGCAAATATTTTTGCTGTTTTTGTACCAATCTGTGTAGTCATTTGGAGCAATGCTTCAGCCATTAGGCTATTCTTCTACCTGACTCCTTCACACAACAAGTACACATTAGGGCAATTGCCTTCTTAGATTAATACAAGGTCACCAAATGGTGCATGGGTTCTCATATTCTCCACAATCCTACAGTAGGAAAAAATATAAATTAAAAAACAAACAAACAAGGAGAAGGGAGTTCTAGAGTCCCTAAAAGAAATGCCAGGCTTTTCCCACTCCATCTGAGAGAAACAGAGCAGCAACAGTTCAGTAATGATAAATGAAGTAACTTTTTTAAAAAATCCAAAAGAGAGACACACACATTACACATAAACAAATGGTTCCTTTAATTGTTTATCAAATTTAGGAAGGAAGTGGAACTCAGACAGAGAGATCCAAAGTTGCTGACCCATCATATGACATTCCTTTTCAGAAACAACAACCGCAGCCCTCCCACGCAGGAAACAACAAGAAAGGTCTTGACGCGAGCTGAGGACATCCTAACCACACCCTGGAGGTGGCAAGTCCATCCAAATTGTTACCAGGAGATTAATAAAAACCACATATGAAATTGATTTCAGAGTGTAGGAGGAAACATTTCTTTTTTTATAGCAAATGTCTATGACCTATGGTAGTCTGAAGCAATATATTTCAGTATATTTCTTGAATAACCTTAGATATCTGCAGTCTTATCATATTCATATAAAACAAATAAAAGTATCCAGGTTTCACATATACTGTATACATGTTAGATATACAGTACATACATAAATCTTAAGAAACTTCTTTTCTTCTTCTTCCCCTCCTCCTCCTCTTCTTCCTCCTCCTCCTCCTTTTCCTCCTCCTCCTCCTCCTGCTCCTCCTCCTCCTCCTCCAACTCCTCCTCTTCCTTCTCCTCCTTTTCAACCTTTTCCTCCTCTTCGTCGTCCTCCTCTTCTTCCTCCTCCTCCTCCTCCAACTCCTCCTCCAATTCCTCCTCTTCTTCCTCCTCCTTTTCCTTTTCCTCCTCCTCCTCCTTCTCCTCCTCCTCCTCCACCTCCTCCTCTTCCTTCTCCTTTTCCTCCTTCTCCTCCTCTTCCTCCTCCTCCTCCAACTCCTCCTCCTCCTCCTCCTCCTCCTCCTCCTCCTCTTCTTCTTCTTCTTCTTCTTCTTCTTCTTCTTCTTCTTCTTCTTCTTCTTCTTCTTCTTCTTCTTCTTCTTCCTCCTCCTCCTCCTCCTCCTCCTCCTCCTCCTCCTCCTTCTTTCCACTTTTTTTCATATCAACCAAGTATTGATCCATTGGTTGTGGCAAGATTGACCAACTGGCTAGTTGTGCAAGCAAGATGTTATGGGCTGATAGAGAGTGACTGGCCCGAAGTCACCCAGCTGGCTTTCATGCCTAAGGCAAGATTAGAACTTACAGTCTCCTGGTTCCTTATTCACTAAAACCAAACTGGCTGTCTCCTTAAAAAATTGTACATGCCCAAATTGATTATGTAATTATTGAGAAATTAAATTCCACTCCCAGAGCCAATTCAGGTGACCATTACAATGAGCCTTAGCTCACATGTTAAGAGAGGTTCAGATAAATTTAAATATAGGTTTCCTTTCATTATCCTGGCTAATTGTCATGAATAAAACCCAGTGTAGTTCTTTGTAGGTCAGAAGTGATGTTATATGTGGAAAGCAAACCACTCACAAGATAGTAGAATAGTAGGTAATTCCTGCTGAAGTAGGAATGTTTGCTTTATGCAGCTCAACAAATATTAGCCCAACAAGTATCTTGTATTTGTTGTACCTGTGGGCAAATTTATTTAGTCTGTTCATGACCTCTGGAACAAAGGCTTCAGAACAATAGTTGTTTGTCAGGTCCACAACTGAAAAGGGTTACTAAGGGGAATATATTCTCCTAAACCGGGGAGAAAAAAAATTAGGTTATCTATTTCATACCCCATGTCAATTTTTAAGAACTTCAAAATCCTTTAAAACCCAGTGCTTAGTCTGGACTTGAAGATCTGAGCAGTCATCATCCTAGGCCTAGTTGGGCCAAGATAAGGATATATAAAATATTGTTATCCATTTAGCCTCTGACATGCTATAGTACTCTCACAGGACTCTGTTGCCTGAGATGTCATGTGTGGTTTGTTTATCATAGCAACCATGAAAGATATATGTTCATTTGGAACATTACAGATGAAAAGTTGGGGAAGGGTGTTCAGCAGAAAGGTTAAATAAAGTTTATACCTTCTTTCTGGGAGTAACTTTTAGCTTAATCTTTCTGAATTGAATATTTGGCTTATGTTACTTCTTTATTTTCAGTCCTTCAAGTTAAATGTCTAAGTTGGCTGTTGATCATATGTTGGCGGGGTGTCTGTAAAGGACCCAATTGTGTGATCAAAGAACATGAAAAGTGATGAGACTTCAATCACACAATCACAGTGGTTGTCTTATACCCCTCCTGTGGTTGACCTTCTATGGTTGTGACTGTGATTTTCAGATCTTGGAGCATCAGTGATATTGTTACTTAAGAGGTAAAATCTGACAGCTTTGGATTTCACCCAGTGTAAGCTTGGCCGGCTACTGTCAAAACCCAGGGCAACAGCAGCGATGCTGATCAAACATAAGTAGTACAAAAAATGTGAAGACAGAAGCAGACTTCCTACCAGTGACTGCACTTCAGTTGGTTGATGGCTATACAAACAAAGGCCAAAAAGCAATAAAGGTGATAAGGATGAAGGAGCACTGTTTCATAATAACACTAATACTGGTTATGCAAAACTGTCTTTTGTAGTCGACCAGGGTCAACACGTTCCTGGCAACCCCTTCAGGGAAGGATGAGGCTTTCCCCAGACTTTGATGCTAGAAGAAAGTCACCTCCAGGCTGTGTAATTCTGTTCTGTGATCAGGGGCAAATGACAGGATCACAAGTAATCTAGTCACATGGCTTATTTTAAATTTTTTATCATTCTCTGCACAAATTTTCCATTTCAGAGATGTAATCTTTTTCCTAGATCAGAATCATCATCAACATCATTCCCATGTGTAATAATAGAATGTCAGCCTTCATATGTCATTACATGCTTTTTAACTATCACACATGGAATCCAGATGGCAAATCATAACTCTAAATAAGAAAACATGGCTTGGGACATTCAGGGCACATTCGTTATTCATTGTTCTTTGATAGGATAAATCCAGTTTGGCCTGGAATGAAGCTGAAAGTTGGATTTGTTGTTTAAGTTCCTAAATAAAATGGAACTTGGCCTTTTTCAATCCTTATTACAAACAGCAAAATAGAATCTTCCAGCTAGCCCAGTTTATGAGTCACATTATTCAAAAAGCTTCCTTCTGATAGCTTTTTAGTGAGGGCTTTTTTGTTTTTGTTTTTTTGCACAATGGGCAAAGGTAGCTGAACCCTTCTCCACCGCCACTCAGAGTTGCCTTGAACCCTGAGATGATCAACAAATAAATTTGATAAATGAACAAACAAACAAACAAACTAGAGTATGAGGTGATAGAATACTCCAGATTAGATTTTTCAGTATTGCAGCTCTAACGGGTTCACAAGAGAAAGTTTATTATTCTATATTTATTAGCTAAAAAAAAATATTGCCATGACTGAATCAGATCTCAGAGGCAAGATCTGAATCAACTTTGCATCACCTTGAATGCAGTGAAGTAATTTGTCCTTTCTGCTGAACGGTTGATCTCAAGGGAAATACATGAACAGGTATGTGAGGGCCAAGGAATGAGAAGGGAGAGATCTCTCTCTGCATTATTGGGCAAGGAACCAAAACAAGGAATCACTGAATTCTTTCAAATTTGTCATTGATTAGAGCAGGGGTCTCCAACCTTGGCAACCTTGGTTGATTAGAGTAATGCTGGCAGGGGAATTCTGGGAGTTGAAGTCTGCCAGGCTTAAAGTTGCCAAGGTTGGAGACCCCTGGATTAGATCAATGTTTCTCAACCATGGCAATTTGCAGACGTGTGGACTTCAACTCCTATAATTCCTCAGCCAGCTATACTGGCTGGAGAATTCTGGAAGTTGAAGTCCTCACCTTTTCAAGTTGCCGAGATTGAGAAACACTGAATTAAAGAATAAGTAGTCTTAACGGTTGAACCTGAAATTCTGACAGCAAGGAGCATAATTGATGAAATCAGAAACACATTAAAAATGCCATTATATTCTCAAGTGTTCCTTCTTTCACAGAGTTACAAGACTGATCCTTGCACAGTATAGGCCTCACCATGACACACATGAACCCTTATGCAAAACTGGCCTTAGGGCTGTCCATGGGGAATATATCATGTGTCATACCACAAGTCAAACTCAATTACACAGAGTATGCTTTTTAAGAGGGAAACAATTGATGTAAAGCCAGTAATTAGAAACAATTTCAATGCTTATAAATAGGTTGATGCAATCATCACACGAGTACAATGGGTGATGGGTGAATTTAAATTCAATGGGTGAATTTAAAGCAACATTTCCCAATATCATTTTTACTGATTTTACAGACTCTTTCATTCTGTTTTTCCTTTTTTTTATTTGTTCATTTCTTTGATCTTTTTCATTTATATAATTGGATGCATTTTTCTTTGGAAACATAGCAAACAGAGATGACATTAATATTAATTTGATGTTCAGAATTGGTATAGACATTTATAGTAATTTCTTCAGATAATAACATAATTCTCTACATTTAATTAATTTTAAATTTTACAGTAATTATATTTACCGATACTTTATTATCTGCTCTGTCCCTTTCTGTCTTCTATTTTTAATTTGTGTAGCTCTTCTGTTCCTTTAACTACTCCAATAAATAAATATTTTTTAAAAAAAAAAAACTACCAAAGTCAGCTAGAGCAGAGTTCCCTAATCTTTCTGGATTTGTGGCCGGGGCTGGGGGGAATGGAGATGATTCCGCGAAAGAAGCTGGCAAGCATGCATGCCAGTGGTGGGTTGCTCCCGGTTCGGTCCGGTTATATAGAACTGGTAGTAAAACCGGCGGAGGCTCCGCCCACCCGCCACAACATCATCATGGGTGATCTGTGCATGTGCAGAAGCGTGCACGAGCGGTAGTAAAGGTAAGTGGAACCCACCCCGATGCATGCATGTAGCTCCATAGAAAGTTAGAAATTTATTCTGAGCCTCTGTTTATCTATCATGCTGCCTGTTCTTTGTCTAAGACAAAGACTAGCTGCTAATCTGAGGCCACTTCCTTCTACCCAGACACACAAAGCAATGTCTCTTTCACTTTCTCCCAGGAAGATACAGTTAGGTAGGTGCTAGGTTTTACCTATCCCCATAAAGTATGTCCTGTAAATAAATCTCCTCTCATAACAGCTACAAAATCCACTCCATTAAAACAGTTGAGGGCACGAAGACTGATAAAAGTATCATATTGATGTGAGCTCTTTCATATGTGCATTGTGACCAGAGATTTTTAGGTGGAGAAATGCTCAACAGTTTATAATCCAGTATTATTTGGATTATCGTTTATCCTCTCAAAGAAATCCTAATGAGGGATGTTAACAAAACAGAATGCATGTATTCATGAAATTCACATTAGCTTTCATAATTTTTTGCTATTAG